GCTAAAATAGGTGTGGTAACTCTGGATTTTCAGTAGGATGAAGGATGATGGTCTAAGTCCTCACCTGAGCAAATGTTATGCCCTAGAGTTGTACATGGCTTCGAATATTTTATGTTGTTTGGTCCAGAAGTTACTCTGCGTGATGTTGGCTCCTAATGTTCCAAGTTCACTTGTTTTATTTTTTATCTTTTCAACACATCTTTACTGTCCTCTAGTATAAATCAATGCCTTGTGAGTGGCTCACTGTGGGAAAAAAGCTCTGGTGCTCCTGTTTCAGGAGGTAAAGTTGAGCTAGAGGAGAGGTGAGGAGAAAACAGCAGGTTTTGGGCTATTATTTCCTGATATTTTGACATCTCCCCTCTGATTGGATAACAGCAACGTGACTCTACCACTGACTCTATTTGCTCTGCCACATTGATGTTTCAACTCCACGATTAAGGGTTAAAAACCCGTCAGTTGTCACACATACTGGTGTGTGGTAAAAGTTTTCCCCCGCATTTGACCTATCCCTGTGGGAAGGGATGAGCTGCAGCTACGACCTCGCTTGGGAGACAATTTGATCCAACCCCTTTAAAGCTGTGCATCAACTAACACAAGCCTGAAGACGTTCTGCTGTGTGGTGGAGTCGCTTATGCTAACAGTTAGCTTCCACTAGCCAAGAGTTTCTGTGCTGTCTCCCGGATGCTAAACAGCAGCCTTCTCTATCCTGAGCCAAGATTGGTGGGTCTGTGCTGATTTTTACTGTGATGTAGATCTGTCAGGCTTTTCTAATCTGAGTATTCAACCATCTAATTCTTATTGGCAGCAATAACGCAGAAGATGTGGGAAGAAGTGATATTTGATAACTAGGGGTGAGACTTTAATGTGTTAATTATAAATAATTAATTAGAAAAAAATGACGTGTTAAAAAAATCATGCATTTGATCACAGCTTGCATCTCAAGCAAAGCGAAACCTTTGTCATTGCTTGATTTCCTCGTAGACCGAGTATCACTAACACACACAACACAGTGCTCTGCTAACAGCTACTAAAACGGAATTAAAACGGAAAGAAATTGCCGTGCTTGGACTGATGCAGTATTTGGGAAATGCGTCAGTCTCTTCTCTTAACTTGTAAAAAAAAAGAGCCTTCCTGAAAACTACGGAGTCCGTGTCACGGACAATTTGCAGAGCTGCTGATGCCGGGTGGCAAACAACATCTCTTAAAGTAACAGAAACACTCTAAAACGTTTCTGATAATTTTCTAAACCCCTCTGTCAGTTTATTTAATGATTCTGTGACGAGTGACTGTCTAAATGTCGCATGAGTTACTATCACTAAGCAGCGAGGTGTGTTGAAGCGATCATCAGCTGCTCAGGAGCTAAAGGAGCAGATGTTTAAGCGCTTCAGGGGCAGCAAGGAACAAGAAAGTTGTGTTCAGGCTGGACAACACAACAGATTTGCTGATGCAGACGTGAATCTGCAGGTCTGCAGCCATCCCATTCTTGACGTGACAGCGGGACACCCTATGTAAGGTCCACTCACCTGTAAACAGGTGAGCATGCGCTCATCGTCCAGTCATCCAACTGGAAGCAGTTACTGTAGTGTTCTTGATCATTCGCAGAATATTTCATGCCTGCTCTGGTGTTAAAAGTTAGTAAAATTAAGTCCTGGATCATATTTGTGCATGCTCTACTGTCATTTCTAAGGATTTCTATTTATATATGTTTTTACTACATTATGAGAAATAGAAATACTAATAAAAACACCTAATTTTACAAACAAGTGAAACCGGAAAAATTAGAATCTGGTGCAGTCAACACAGCGACTACCTCACAATAGAGGCTAACGACTCATCAGGGATGGAGAGGCGGGGTGCCCATGGTAGTTTTGGTTTGTTTTGGCTGGTCATATTCCAGTTAGAATTAACAAAGCTCCTCAGATGGATCAAAGAAGTCCAGTTGCCTTCATTTGAACCCTTTGGATTACCATGACCTGAATGACTGAGAACCTTCACCAGCATAGACAGAGGGCTCAGGAACCATTTGTATGTGTTTTCAAATTGTAATTATACATTTGAGTTGATTTGGATCTTGTTTCATATCACACAGTGACATTTGAATAATTTAATGTAATTTTTTTTAGAAATTAAACAGCTTTAGTTTACAGTAATAATAACCATGTCTATTGTTTGATTCTCTTCCTCATAATTGTTCATTTAAAAATAGCTTTGAGGGCACATTTTCCTGAACGATTAAAATGTGATTAATTAAGATTAATTAATTACAAAATCTCTAACTAATTAGATCATTTTTTTAATCGAGTCCAACCCCAATGATAACTAATGAATGGACTTGTACAGCGCCTTTCAGGGTCAGAGGACTCCAAAGTGCTTTACACTACAACGTATCATTCATCCATTCACACACACATTCACACATTGATGGTGATGAGCTACAATATAGCCAGCTGGTATGACAATCTGTTCTAAATCTGGTACTCTAAATCTGGGACCATGGTCTCGAGTCGGAAAAGGGTAGAATGCCTTCTCCAGGTCAGGAATGAGGTCCTGCCCCAAGTGGAGGCGTTTAAGTTTCTCAGGGTCATGTTTACGAGTGAAGAAAAGATGGAGCATGAGATCGATAGGCAGATTGGTGCTGCATCTGCAGTACTGCAGTTGTTGCAGTCTATATTTCGCACCTGGCCAAGGAAGTCCTTAGGATTTCCCCGAAGGAGCTGGCTCAAGTGGCTGGGGTGAGGGAAGTCTGGGCCTCCCTGGTTAGGATGCTGACCCCACAACCCGACCCCAGATAAGCGAATGACAATGGATAGATGGATGGATCATTCATCCATTCACATACACACACACGCTGATGATGATGATGCGCTACACTGTAACCACAGCTGCCCTGAGGCACACTGACAGAGGTGAGGCGAGGCTGCCAAGCACAAGAGCCGCCAGTCCCGCCAACCATCACCAGCAAGCGGGGAGGGTTGGGTGTCTTGCCCAAGAACACAACAGCAGAACTCTCTGCCAGGATCAAATCTGTAACGGATAACCTTCCAATTGCTGAACAACCCGCTCTACCTGGGTTACTGCTGCCACACAGAACACTACTTTCACATTCAACAAGCATCCACCCATCCTTTTTTTGAACCCACTTGTCCATGTAGGGTCGCGGTGTGGGGATGGGGTCTATCTGCAGTGGTCAACGGGCAAGCAGGCAGGGTACACCCTGGACAGAGTGCCAGTCCATTGCAGGACAACACAGAGACACACAGGACAAACAATACTGCACACACACACACCTAGGGACAATTTAGACGGAACAATCAACCTAACAGTCATGTTTTTGGGCTGTGGGAGGAAGCTGGAGAACCCGGAGAGAACCCACGCATGCACAGGGAGAACATGCAAACTCCATGCAGAAAGATCCCAGGCTGGGAAGCGAACCCAGGACCTTCTTGCTGCAAGGCAACAGCTCTAATTACTGCACCACTGTGCATTCATTCAACAAGCCTGTGAAACAATTTCAAAATGACAAGAAACATTTGTTTCTCAGTTAACTTGTCCTTAAAGTTATTTGCCTTTTTTTATACCACAAAAATCACTTTGGAAATTGGTTGAAATTTTCTGCTGTAGTTCTAATTCTAATTCTAATAGAATATAGTGAAAAAACTGGTTATGGTTCAACACCCAAATAGTCAAAGTGCTACACAAAGCAACAAATCCAAATCAGACCAGGTCCAGAATCATAATAATAAACTTAAGGAAATAAGAAACAGCAGTAATAACCTCTTAACCTGAAAAATGCTCCGAATGATTATCACCAGCAAGGGTGCTTGATCATGGAATTTCACATTTAAAAGATCAAATGACTTACTACATGTTAGGGCTGCATTACTCTTAATTATTATCAGGTAGATGTTAATAGGTAGATTTTAATTTAATTTTAATCATTTCCAACAACTGAACATTCCTGGGATTCCCAGATTTTTGCTGAAACTGCTAGGTTTTCCTGCCCAAATCAGCCACATGACACAAGGTCCCAACATCACCATGTAAACATGACTCTGATTATCGTGGCTGATTGTGATCCATTTCTAACTGCCATAAAGTGTTGGTTTATTATTCTACCCAAACCTTTTTTACTGTCTTGTAGTTTTTTGATTATTGATTCCCTATAATATTATCATTTATTTGTGTTTATTTCTTCATTTTAATTTAGTTTCTTTTCTTTCTTTCTTTTGCAGCAAGTACCACAGCAATTCACCAATGTTGTGATTCTCACACATATGGCATATGATTAATCTGATTCTGATTTTTGCCCCCTTTGAAAAAGAATATATCAATTCCAGCCACAACATGACACCTATTTCAGTTTCCAGTCCTGTACAGGTAATTCCAGAGTAAATCCTTTCTGTTTTCTGGGTTGGCTATTACCTCTCTTGGCCACCTCATATGGTGTACTTTCCTGTTCCAGCCTTTCTCTCAGTCTGACCTTACAGAAAATAAGTCATGAGGGAGGCTACCAACTCAAAGTCCAGCCAAATATTAGCAACAGAGGGAGGGATGTTGCTGAAGATGAGCCCTTGCTTTCACACTCTTTGTCAAACACGCCTTCCTCCCCCTGGCCTGTTCTTTCCCTCCCCTCTTAGATTTACCATTTCTCAATTCCCAGCAGAAGCTTTCTGGCAGACTTTTTGAGAGTGGCGGCCAATGATGGTGGAGTAGGCTGATAGGGTTGGATGCCGGAGGGAGTGGAGACAGTTGAACAGTTGTCTGGCAAACCCACACACCTGTATTCTGTCATTGATTTGACGGTTATTCCTCACCCCTCTGTTCCTTATCCCTCTGCCTCCCTCTCCATCACTCACCATGCTCTGATCTTCCTGTCTGTCTGTCAGAGAGGATCTGTCAAGATTCCTGCAGCAGGAGAAGAATGTGTACAAGACTACACTGTTGTGTGTGTGTGTGTGTGTGTGTGTGTGTGTGTGTGTGTGTGTGTGTGTGTATGTGTGTGTGAGTGAGTGTACGCTATTTTTAAAGGAGTGAATAGGGAGGCAATTTATTAGATGAGAAATAATAGAATAGAATAGAAATATTCTTTATTGATCCCACAGTGGGAAACTCAAAAGGGATTTTCCTCAAATGTGTAGCAGAATAAAACTGAGCCACAGTTCTGAAAATAACATGTCGTCACAGCCTTGGTCACTTCTATGCCTCCTTCTCCTCTTTCTTTCTTTCATTTTTATTGATTGTCTTTAGCCTTTTTCACACAACCATCAATGGCTTCATCAGCCTGTTAAAGCAATGGCATCAAGTCATTTAAACATTAGTCACTTTTCCATTACCGTTCATTCAGTCCTGTTAATCCTGTTAAAACCTGTTAAAGTAACAGAATGAACCTCAGTGTGCAACGTATTAGCCTGGAAGGTACTTCAAGTAAAGTAGCTTGTAATGAAAAAGTCCTCCTAGAGTTAGGTTTTTCACATGTTAAGTTTACCGTGTTTTCTCTTATGTTTCAGGATATCTGTACTTGGCTTGCTGTCAATCCACTTCTGGTCCAGATCATGACTGAATGAGCTCATTCTTCAAACCCAATTGATGTAGACCAAACTCTTGTTTTGCAAAGTCTGGTCTACACTCTAAGAAATGAAACATGGGCTTTTTAAAAATTAATTCATAGTTTTATGTTCAATATACTTAAAATTTTTAATCTTAAGGGTGTAATTAATATTTTTAAATTTCATTTAATTAATTGTAAACCGTTCTAATGTTAAATAATATTGATGTTTCCAATTTATTGAACACTTTTAATTCAATCCAAAGAGCCCTTTCCACATCCTTTCTGAGCATGCGCAGAGAATGGGAAAAAAAAATCTTCGCGCAGGCGCATTGACCTTCTTCATCTACGCCATACTGTTCTTTGGCCTCGTGTCTGGAAAGAGGGATTAATCACGATTCATCCGTTGGAGTTAAGGTAATTTCTTCCTATTTTTAATAGAATATAATTTAACTAGTACTTTGTGATAATGTATGGCGTATATTTTTCCGGTGAATATGTGGGCCGTATGTGTTCTGTAGGTTGTAGCATTTTGCTAGCATTGGAAACATTCATTAGCATATTCAACGTTACTGCACATCTGCATTTAAAATTTCATTCGAACTCCGAATAGCACACTTATTTTATTTGTTTTATTGCTCTATCAACGTTAGCCCGAACAAGAATTGGGATACATGTGCAGTGATTGTTGTTGAGTCCATACTCGTCTGTTTCACTGAAGAGAACCGCGAGCTGGTAGTTTGCAGTGAGTCTCAAAGAGACCTCTGAAGGTGACCCCCAATTGCCCCCAAAAATAAAATCAAGTATACTGGGTGGTTAGTGCTTCGTTTGTTTCGGTTTGTGCTGGTAAAATCATCGTTTCTATCGCTTCGGTGTCAAAGATATTGCACTTTTATTTAATAGGTCATTCAGAGTTCACCAGCCCCCGGCCAAAATCCGTGGAGTCTTGAAAAGTATTAAAAGGTGATAAATCAATTTCGGAAAAATTAAGACCCTTAAAAGTATTAAAGTCTTATCACGGCTTTATAAAGTCTTAAATTTTGAGATTTTTTTCTGAATTAGCCAACAGTTTGTTTTAGTTTTATTTTTTAAGGAACCGAGGGAGGGAGCATAAAAGATGAAAAAAAAAAAACTAAGCTGTTGTGGGTGTTTTTCTCTCAGAGCACCAGGGTGGACGGGGTGGAAGCTCAAAAGTGCAAAGAACGCTCTGGTGTTCCCGGTGCATATTACGAACGCACCTAAATGTTAAGACGGAAGAGAATGTTGGTGAACGTGAACGCACAACGAAAATGGGGAAGTGCAAGTTTGCAGCGTCCTGGCTGGATATCCTGGATTTCAAAGAATGGCTGCAGCCAGTCGAGGGGAGCGTGAGGGAGGCATACTGTACGATATGCAAGAATTAAATAAGTTTCGTGTCAATGGGCATAAACTCCTTAAAGTCGCACATGTGTTGTGCTAGCCACAAAGCTGCTGCTAGCCGCCGAGAGCGGCAGCTACCCATCGCTAGCTTCTGTGGAAATCGTGTTGAACCACCACAACATAGTCCCAACGTAACGTCGCTCCACGATCGACAGTCGCACCTAGAGCCGGTCTGTCTCTGCTTCCTCATCTTCTGCAGCCGTTATCAGAGTGGCTCTGGGCAGCACAGCGACGCTGCATGCTGAGGTGTTAATAGTGTCTCCACACAGCGGAAAAACACCATTCCCTGAACTCAAATGAAAACTTGGCTGAAGTTTTCAAGGCTATGTTTCCAGATTCGGACATAGCGAAGTTGTTCACTTGTGGCAAGGACAAAACTGGATACATCATGTGATTCGGGTTAGCACAGGGGCGTGAACTCTGAATGACCTATTACATAAAAGTGTAATATCTTTGACACCTGTAGCGATACAAACGATGATTTTACCAGCACAAACCAACACAAAAGGAGCATTAACCACCCATACTTGATTTTATTTTGGGGGGCAAGTGGGTCATGTTCACAGACTGGGCTGCTCCGGCATATAATGGTAACCCTGCTCACAGGAACAGATTTATGAAATGAGTAATAGAAATTTTGGAGCATTTGAAATTTAGCTTGTATTATTAATACATTTTAAAAGAAACAGGAGTGTTCTTAAGTTTAGATCGTCTCTGTGCTACCCCTTTGCATGTGTCTCACTGTACACAATTAATTTTTTCTTGTTTTCTTTTTCTCTGAGGTTGCTGGTTGTGGAATTTTGGAGCTGCAGAGATTTGAGCTGTGCTCCAAAAGTGCATGTTGAAGGTACCAAATGCTTTCATATTATTTACTTTTTCCTTAATACACAATTTTAAATTTTGAATTCTCTTATTTGGTCTTTCAGGTTATGAATGTGGTGTTGTAAGCTTTGCTCTTTAAGTGTATCTAAAAGGTACCAAATTCTAAAACACTTGAGACTTAAACACTCGATTCTTGGTCTGAGACGCTCATATCCGTGCATTTACAGTCATTGCCCTTGTACTTTCAAAACATGGGGTGGTCTTAGGACTCATCTAAGTCGTACACATGGTGCTAAGCCCTCTCACACTGTAGAACGTGTTATATTGACTTGTCCTTCTTGTCCTGAAAGCCACATACCAACAAGCAGAGAATACTTCCTCCATATTAATAAACATCTCAAGAGGTTGGAGACAGTAGATTGTGTTTATCAAAATTGTTCTTTCAAAACTAATGTGTATGGTACTTTCCAGACACACAAGAGTAGAAAACATTCTTCATGCACGCTCAGAGATTTCAAAAATGAAATAGTGAAAAGAACTGAATTTACAAGTAATAATGATCTTTCTGAGGAGTCTGCAGATGAAGGGCCCCCTGACTTGGATTGTGAAGCTGGTGTAGTTGGTGAAAATTTGGAGGAAGCTGTAGTTAAAAACCTTGCCTTGGTTTTGTTAAAGTTGGAGGTCTTTTCACATGTACCAACATCAGCAATTGACAATTTACTCGAGGGGCTACATTTTCTATTCACTACTTCTGCTTTACCCTTAACAAATAGCTTAACTTTGGCCGTTCTCAAGGAGCATAATATTGAGGTTAGTTCATCGCTAGTGAATGAGTTGTGCACTGCATTATACACTGGAAATCCACTACTTAGAAGTATTGCAAAAGGAGGGTCACTTGAAACAACATTTAAGCGCAAGAAGTTTTACTATGAAAAGTTTAATGTTGTTGAGCCAGAGGAATATGTTCTAGAGGAAACAACAAAAAAAAAACTTTCAATATATTCCACTGCTAAAGTTATTGGAGCAGTTACTTCAACGTGAAGATATTGTTGGAAAGCTAGTTGAAAACTATAAAAGGAGTCACTCAAATTCACAACTGCTTACATGTTTTCAGGACGGTGAGAATCAGAAGAACAATATTTTTTTTTCAAGTGAAGAGCTCAGAATTTCATTATGCCTATATATTGATGATTTTGAAGTGTGCAACCCACTAGGAACATCTAGAAAAAAACATAAACTTTGTGCGGTTTATTGGATTCTGGGCAACTTGCCTTCTGGTTGCAGCTCAGCCCTTTCTTCAATCTACTTGGCACTGTTGTGTAAAAGTGAATTAATTAAATCTTTCGGTTATGAAAAAGTACTTGAGCCTCTGCTGCGTGATTTAGTCAGACTTGAGAAGCAAGGTTTATTCGTGCCCCTCCTTGGTTCATTTATCAAGGGTACAGTTCAGTGTGTCGTTGCTGATAATCTGGGGGCCCATGGGCTTGGAGGATTTGTGGAGAATTTTTCAGCTAATTATTTTTGTCGTTTCTGTACAGCCCAGCTTTCTGATATAAATACGTGTGAGGTAAAGACAGGATCATTTGAACGAAGAACAAAGGAAAATCATCGGCTTCATGTCAAGACTGCTCAAGAACAAGGTGTGAACTGTTTAGGTGTAAGAAAATCGTGTGTTTTAACGGATAACCTCTCGTATTTTAATGTTGTTACTGGTTACCCTCCCGACATTGTGCACGATTTCTTTGAAGGAATTGTTCCTGTCGAGTTGGCCCAGTGTATTGACCATCTTGTGTCAAAAAAGTATTTTTCTCTCGAACAACTGAACAATCGTATTCGTTCTTTTCCTTACAAGGAAGGAGATAAAACTAATCGCCCCACTGTGTTATCAAAAGCTGTAAGTAAGAAGAAGAGACGTTCTCTTGGGGGTAACGCACATGAAAACTGGTGTCTTATTCGCTTGCTTCCTTTTATCATTGGGCCAAATGTCCCTGCTAATGAACCAGCCTGGCTGGTTATTTTAGACTTAAAAGATATTGTCGAGCTTGTAGTAGCTCCTGTTCACAGTCTTCAATCTGTTGCATATTTGGAATGTAAGGTCTCAGAGCACCGAAAGCGTTACCAACAACTATTTCCTAACCAAAAACTGATGCCTAAACACCACTTTATTGAGCACTATGCAGAAATGATCAAATGTTTCGGTCCTCTTGTGTCGTTATGGACGATGAGATTTGAGGCCAAGCATAGTTTCTTCAAACAGGCTGTTCGGAACATCAAAAGCTTCAGAAACATAGCCGGCTCTTTAGCTCGTAAACATCAGTTAATGGTTGCATATAGAATGCTTTGTCCTGATGATGAAAACTCTACAGATGTTACTCGCGTGACAGAAGTGCCGTTGGATGTCCTTAAAGACAATGTTGTGAAAAGTATCACTAACAAACATCCAGACGTGACTGCTGTTAACTTAGCCACTGGCGGTTTTGTGAACAATATTCAGTACAAAAAGGGGATGATTGTTGTGCACGGATCATGTGGTGGTCTACCAGATTTCTGTGAAATTCAACATTTGTGCATTATTAAAAAAGAGACCCTCCTTATTCTGAAAAGACTAAATTCATGGTACATGGAGCACTATAGGGCTTTTCACCTACAAACAACAACAGATGTTGTTGTTGTATCCATGACAGAGTTGGCCGACCCATACCCCCTATGCGACTATGAAGTTGGACACTTGCGGATGGTCACCTTAAAAAGACATATTCACATTGGTAATTGTTTTATTTTTTTTCACTCATTGTTCGGTAAACAAACATTTGTGGCAACAAGTAAGTTTAATACAAATAAAACTGTCATGTTTTTTAGACTATTGAGTAGTGTTTCATGATCCAGGAATTATCTATGTATGTATTTAGAAATATTGTCTGCTGGACAGTATTTCTTAAAAAAAATCCCTAAGGATAATCTATACACTGGTCTTGTTTTTCAGCTTGAAGAATGGCTGCTACTTTGAGGGTGATACTTGGAGTGGACAATTCATCCAAGTTGGTGCTTCCTTCTGGAATCCCTGGTTCAGTGGACATTTTAAAAGAGGAAATACAAAGACAGTTTGGATTGACTGAAGATTTCAGGCTTCAATATAGAGATGTTGAGTTTGACAATGAATACATGAATCTAACCACAACTGGGGACATTAAAGACAAGAGTACAATCAAAGTAATTTACACTCAAAACTCTGAGCCGTCCACTGTGCCCACCACAGCACCCACAGCTGTCTCCAGAGAGACATTACCACAGTTTAATGCGCCATCCTTGCCAGACACTGACATCCTTTCCTCCTCAGACTCCAGTTCCTCTTGTTCATCTCTTCGCGTGCGGAAATGGCCCTTAAACTTTCCAATACCAACGTTTAGTTTTGATGTGGATTTTCAGTTACACAGAGCCCAGCAAGAATATGAAAACAATGGGACTCTCTTAGACCCGAGCCCAAAACTCAAATCTGACATATTAGATATGTTAGCATCAGAAATTGCAAAATACAAAGTTTATCCATCAAGTGGAGATATTGATGATGTCGCTAAAGCGTTAATTCAAAAATATCCCTTTCTCAAAGAGAACGGATCTGTGACTGGCTGTGAAGGCTGGAAAGTAAGCCTAAAATACAAAATGGCCAATTACCGGACAACACTGAGAAACATAGGGTGCCCAGAGGTGGCAATAAACACTCTACAACACAAGAGAGAACGAGAGGAGAGTCCACGTCGAAACAACGTCAAAAAGCCACGGAAAGCAGAAGTGAACTTTTTACCACAATACCCTGCAGGAGAAACAAACAAAAGTCTGGAGGAAGAACGACAAGCACTACTGATTGAGGTGAAGAAAACAAACAACGATCAAATAATCAAAATAAAGATGGATAAGACGTTTGCACACAGAAGAAGAGAGGTGATTGAAGAGATGCCATTCATCGCAGAGTTCAAGAGCAGATGGCCGGCCCTCTTCAAAGTACCCGAGGTATGTATGAGTTTGAGTCCTGGTTTAAAACTGGTCGTGAACAGAAAAGTACTGCTACAAAGGTGATGTCACCGAGCTGATGTCTTTTCAGCTTAGTTGTGTTGTGAGAAAGGCATCACCAGTGGAATGAAAAATTTTGGGAAAACTTTGCTAACATTTGATTTTATTTTATTGATTAGCATTCAAATATCTCAGTGAAGACAGAATAAAGATTATCACAAAGCAAGAAAGCATGAGACAAGGCTAATCAAAAGGTATTGGCTGAAGCATTTGCTTATTACGCCAACCCTTTTAACAAAAGATCTTTTTGCATGCAGCTACTGTACACAGGGCTCGGAAGCATAAAACAAAGCCAAAACAGACAAACCAAAAAAAAAAAAACTTTCCACCTTAGATAAATAACTACATCAAAGCAAAACAATCAAGTTGTTTTTTTGTTTTTGTTTTTTTGCTCTTTTCATTCTTGATTTATATATTTCTCTAATACTCTATTTTATCATGATACACGTCAGTTTCATTTTACAACTAAAGTGCAAAATCGTACTGCATGCGTGAGGCACTCTTTTGCAGCCACCTGATTGTGCCAGTCCATCTATAAATGTTTTGGGTGGCATATTGGAATAACTTTTCTGTCTATTAAAAAATATTTTTTTTTCGTAATTGATTTTGGCAAATTCCCATCTGATGAATCGATTTTTTTCCCCCTTTTTCTTTCTTTAAATCAAACCTGGACAGCACCAGAACTTTTTGTCTGGTATTAGATCAGGTTTGGTCTGATTTAGTCCTGTTTTTAGCTGAACAATTAAAAAAATTTTATTTTTGAACTTTGTAGATCAATGCGGAGTTCACCCGAATCACCACAGTTCCACTGCTGTCCACATTCATGAGAAGTCTTGACCAGTACTCTAACCAGTTGATGAAGATTCTACGAAAAAAAGGAGGGGAAACAGCACGGCAGATCACAGCAGCGTTGTCTGCAATTTCACAGGTATTCTGTCTTGTTAAAATGTTCTGTAACTAATAGATTAGTTGCAGGTTGATCTCAGGTCTGGTTATGAACCTGTATTTTTAACTTTCTTGGGTTATTTTATGCTTGTTCTCTCCTCCTCCTCATCTCGCTTTTGGCTTATATTCTGGATTTGGTCCTGACACAAAGCAGAGCTAAGTAACTCATGCCCCTAGAGGCCATAAGTGCCGCTGCTGGCATTGCAGCTCTTTCCTTTTTTTGTTACTCATTAATTGTCCAAAGGAATAATTAGCTACACTGAGAAAAGACAAAGGCAGAGGACATTTCACATTTCGCCACAACTCAGTGACACAATAGATTATTTTTTCTTCACTCAAACTAGGTATAAATACTGCAACTGTGGAGGTAGCCCGCATACCTCATATTAACGTGACAGTGTAGTTTTTGTCATTAATTTTTGGAAATATCCATCAAAATGTTTTTGATTCCTTTGAACAACACTCCTAAGCAACAACACTTTTCTTCCTTCTTTTGGGTGGTACACCATGCTAAAGCTGCATTTCCCGCAACCCAATGTATCGCAATCAGTGTAATTGGACTCTAAACTTAAAATCTTTATGGGAATGAATTGGTAAGCTTCTCATTCTCTAACACAAAATAGTACTTGCTTGCAAAAAGCATGTTTAAAATTACTTAGAAAAAATTATGAATTGGTTAAACAATAATAAAAATTGACTTGAGTTCTGTGGGGGTCTCTAAAAACTTCAAAAAAGTAATTGCTCTGCATGTGTCGTTTTGTTTAGAGTTCCCGAATCGAAGTGAAGCGTGAATGCATCCTTAAAGCTGTGATTATATACCTGAATGAGAACCCTGAAAATCTCATCAAAGAGTACATGGTAAGTTCATTTTTAAAAGGATATTCCACCCCTCAGTAAAATTTTGACTGTCATAATTCCCAGAGTTTTGTAAGTTGAAAAATGTATTTTCTAAACAAGCCCAGGTATTCTCCTGATCTGGCAGCAATCAGTTTTCTTTAAATTAGCTTACAACAGTAAAGTGCATGGGAACTACTAGGATTTTCTTTCCATTCACCTAAATTGTTTTATGCGAAACTAAAGAAAATAACCCTGGTCAGCAGAATATTGATAATATTATTGATGCATTCTCCTTCTGCCCTCTCCATGTTTCATGTATCTTCTTCTTGGTCTTTATTTGGTGATAGTCTTAAATCCACATCTTTCTTTGGTCTGTTCTTCTCAGTCTCATTCAAGGATATGTGTAATTAGGGTAGTGTGTACCATTTTAACTAAAATGGAGTGAATAGATAGATGTTGCGATGACCAAAATACAACAGATTTAATATATTTCTATCCTTTTCAGGATTGCAACGTGATGGAAGCTGATGAGCTCGAGAGGATGGATTTGGGTGTTTATAAAATAATCCACGAAGGAGCACAGCCTGATGACTCCCTTGAAGATGTTGGCATCATTATCGAGAGATGCACCGTCTTGCAGGATCTTCACGATGTGGCGAGCGGGTGTGCACTTTTGTTTGGGCTAATCTATTGCCTCAATCTGAGTTACCCAAAGCCACTTCGCTACACATTTGAGTTCTTCCAGAAGGTGCTCATGGGCCTGGAAGACAAAAAACTGTCTAACAAAATCCAAGTGCTGAAGAACAAACTCTGCCAAAAGGAGACACAATGACTCTTCTAAAAAAAAATGTCCCCCAAAATAAGTGCTCTGTTTTCTTGCAGAGTAAAAATGTTACAGTTTAAAAGTTTATAAATACATATATGTTGATCCTTGTTTGTAAATATTTTTTCAGCACTTTTAATGTTTAAGAGATTTACTGAATGCCATTTTTCTTTTGATTGTGGAAAAGAAAACACATTTCAGAAACTGAGTTTTTTTAAACTGGGGACAAAATTACCCAGATTGATTTTTGTTGTTGTTGTTGTTTCACTTTAACATTTCTGCAGTTTGAGTTACTGTGGTAATTCTGCAGACTGTAGCCATTGCAGACCTACAACTACTACACTGCACTGTCACTTGGTTGAAACTGGAAAGTTGTTTCAAATGTTTACATTTTGTTTTAGGCACTTCATTTAATGTTGCATTATGCAGTGTTTTTTCCATGTTTAAGCTTTGGCTCATTGAAAGCTATTGTTCAAGTTGTTAAAGCAACACAATTTTTTTCTCTTGTATTTATACTTAGTTTTAGCTCTGGTGTACCAAGTTTCCATTGCAGGTCAAGGATATTGAGTTTTATAAATGTTAAAGTATGTGTGCACAAAAATGTGAAAGGTTGTCACCTGTACTCAAATGAAGTGCTGGATTTTTGGGCCTAGTATTAAGAATGTTGTGAGATTTGCTACATGCATTTTTTTTTTTTTGTTAGAAATACCAAAGTTATAGTTCTGAATCTGATTTTTGGAACTGGGGACTAAATCGTCCAGATTAACCTTTTTGTGTCATTTAAGTATTTTATGTAATTGGATTGCTGTGATAGATCTGCAGATCTGACTATAATCAAATGTATTGAATTCGGCATCCTACGGCACACTACAGTGTCACTTTGTTAAAACTTAAATGTTGCTTCCAATGTTGCTCCATTTAATATTGCCTTATGCGGTGTTGTTCCCTGTAGAAGCTTTGCCTTGCTTATCGTTAATAAAGTTGTTGGTGCAGCACCCTTTTTTTTTTCTTTTTGCATTGACACTTTATGTAAGCTTTGGTGTAAAAGAGTTTTCTATTGTAGGTCAAGGATCTTGAATGTTATAAATGGTAACATGTGAGCAAGTGTAAAACGGTTCTTGAGTTGTCACCTGTACTGTAGTTAAGTTTTGGACCTTTTGCTGAAGACCTCTTAAGTTCCAAACACCTAATTACAATGTATAGATGACAACTCAGGAATTTTTCTAGACTTGTTTTGATGATACCTAAACATTTAGCATATAGATGAAACTATTCATTAAATCATAATTAATCAAATTAATTAGGTCCAAAGCACAATGTAAATGGTGCCATTAAATTAAAATTAATATTGTCAATTGAACCTAAAGCAATACAGTTAATACAATGAACAAAGTGTTTAAATTCAAATTAATGGTGTTAAATAGTGACAATGAAAGGAAAGCTGTTGCTTTTATATAACAATTTCACTTCTGGTATACATCACCATTGAAATTGCAGACAACAACCATATTGATTTATGTTTAATTGACCAAGTTTTGTGGAAAAGATTGCCTTAACTTTGTCAATTAAATCCAACGTTTTATTTCTTAGAGTGTAGAAATGTGCCAGTGAAACTTCCACTGCCCCTTAGCAGCATTGTGGAGGGCCAATCACAGCTCTCTATCAGGGTTTCAAACCAATAGAGTGCTGTGATTGGTCCACAATGGTGGGCCAATCACAGCACTCTATTGGTTTGTAGGCCAATCAAGGTGCTCTATTGGTTTGGTGGGAGGGATGATGGGACAGAGCAGAACAACATGGGTACAGCTCGTTCGAAATGGCTTTTGCATCAATTTTGGACTATTTAGACTTGGGCACTCATTAGAATCAGGAGAAGACAGATGTATTTGAGTCCTTTATTTAGAAAAAAATTATGTCTTTTTGCCTTCTTCAGCAGTGGACTGCCTCATTTACCGACATCTGTTGCAGTGAGTACCTCAGCTGTTCATTTGTCATGTTCTGGGGCAAATGTCTAACACAAGACATGCTGAATCAGGAGATGGAGACGAGTTAAAGGAAAAAATAATAATCTTTATTAAAACGGAGAACTACGGGCGCACTGGAAGTCCAGCGGATGGGCAAACAGGAAGCGGCGTCTAGAGGGAAAGCAACAGAGGTGAGTATTGGGATTTGTAGTCCAAGGTGGGGTGTTTGTAGGAGGAACTTACGGTACGGAAGTTCAGGAGAGCTAGGGAGGGGATGACCCGGGGTAATGTCCAGGAGTGAATATGAGTGGTCCGAGAGTGTGAGAGATGTTGTTCTACAACACATTCGCACACCCTAAGCGTCGGAAACAAACGCTTGGTAAGCCACCCTCCACGTCAGACCCCAGACGCCAAAAGTGCCCTTTTTCGTTACTTATGTGCGAAAAGGGGTTTTCCCCTTTTGTAACTGCAGATCCCAATGCAGCGTAAAACCGTCGTGATTAGATATCCGCTGATGCGGCACCGAACCAGCTCGTTTAACCGCACCTAAACCTTAAATGCGGCACCGAACCAGCTCATTTAACCGATGCGGCACCGAACCACCTCGTTTAACCGCACCTAAACCTTAACGTTTCACTATTTATAACCTTCCCCTCTCCCTCATCCTAACCTTAACCCTCTTGCTACCTAAAACGTTACTCTCACTGTGATCAAGCGTCTGTTTCCCCTGTATTCAGACTCTGACAGTCAGAGTCTGACTGTGAATTTTCGTATTTGCCGCCCAAGGGGAATGTTAGAACATACCATCTGGCTAGGGGGAGGTTACAAATACCCTCTACTTTTAACCTCCACCTTGGTAGTTGAAACCTCCCCCTCGCGTTGGCTTGGTCCAAACTCGACCAATCAGGAGGCGGCTCCCGCCGTTCACTTCATAGAGCCGGCTTTTAGAGCGATCGACACATCACTAACGTGTTCGCTGGCAAGATGGTTAAGGTTAGGATAGGGGTGAGGGGAAGGTTAAATAACTAGAGGATAAGGTTAAGGTGAGGTACAATGAGCTTGTTTGGTGCCCTGGCTGCGGACATCCCATCGCGTCAGTGTAACGCTGCATTGGGATCTGCAGTCAAATAAGGGAAAACCCCTTTTCGCACATAAGTAACGAAAAAGGGCACTTTTGGCGTCAGGGGTCTGACGTGGAGGGTGGCTGACCAAGCGTTTGTTTTTGACGCGCTGGGAGTGAAAACGTGTTGTGTTCTGAGATGAGAGGTTGGAGTTGGAGAGGGAGCGGAGACGTGGTGGAGAGCGGGTCGGCTGAGCGGGTGATGGTGAACCAGGAAACGAACCGGCGTGAGATCCTCGCAGGGTTGGGTAGAAATCCAGAGATGAAGCCAACCTGAGGTGAGTAATCCAGACAAAAATCCTAATATTAATCGAGGTTCCAAAAAACATTCACAAGAGTTCAAAACAACTAGAGACGAGCGAGAAACGAAGGGCTAGAGACTATCAGTCAGTGATAATCTTCCGGCGTTGAGTCATGTTCACCATCCTCCTTATAAAGCCGCCCCGCTGATGAGCTGATGAGGATCAGCTGTCGCTCCCTCTCCTGCAACCAAAAACACTCAGAGATGTTGAATGATGAGAAGAGTACTCACCCCGGCTCATGACATCATATTCCAGTAGCATGCAGAGATCGTTTGAAAGACAATGGTAGAACCCGCCCTACGACCGAGAGCCGTCAGCATTCCCAGACTAAATACATATATTTATTTAAATATTATATTCAACTATTATTATATTTAAATGAATTTATCCATCCACCCATTTTCAGCCGCTTATCCGGTGTCGGGTCGAGGGGGCAGCAGCCTAAGCCGAGACGCCCAGACTTCCCTCTCCCCAGTTACTTGGGCCAGCTCTTCCAGGGGAATCCCAAGGCGTTCCTTGGTCAGCTGAAAGACATAGTCCCTCCAGCGTCTCCTGGCTCTTCCCTTGAGTCTCCTCCCAGTTGGACGTGCCCAGAAAACCTCACCAGGGAAGTGTCCAGGAGGCATTCTGACCAGATGCCCGAGCCACCTGAACTGGCTCCTCTCGACGTGGAAGAGCAGCGGATCTACTCCGAGCCACTCCTTTATGGCAGAGCTTCTCACCCTATTTCTAAGGGACCAGCCACCCTGTGGAGAAAACTCGTTTCGGCCGCTTGTATCTGCAATCTTGTTCTTTCGGTCACTACCCAAAGCTTATGACCATAGGTCAGGGTAGGAACTTAGATCGACCAGTGTTACGTGCTTTGCCCCTTTCCGGCCACTTGATGGCCTCAGTGGCTTCTGCCTCGCCAGTCTTCTGATGCCCAGCTGTGTGTAATCACCGTCAATCACCAGTCAGCTGTTAAAAGCTGCTCTCCTGCCCTCAGTCTAGGAGAAGGTGCAGGGTGTGGGCACAAAGGTGTTCAGGCTTCTCTCTTCTCCTCGTGTGCTTGTGTGGTTAGCTTAGTGGTGCTTTGGTGTTTAGACTCTTGTTCGTTAGGATTTTTGGTAAACTTTGACTTTGGACTGGCCTTCGACTCCGCTTTTGGATTTCCCCCGAGCGTCTCTGCTTATCAGGACGGCTCTCGTTAGTTTAGGTTTTTTGTAAAATAATCTTTCAGTTAGTTAGTTCTCCTCCTCCCAGCCCTTTCGGCTTGGCGCTTTCAGTTTCCCTTTTATAGTGTATATTTGTATTTGTTGTAATAAAATCCTTTGTTGGGCGACACAATTACTTTGTTATTATTAAATCTACACACTACATCTTTTACTCCCTCCTTCACGTCTCTCCTAGCGAGCTGAGGGACGTAACAACCAGTAAATGAATTTATGTTTAAATAAATATTTACATTTAAAATAATTATTATATTTAAATAAATAATATATATACTGCCACCTTACCGTGGTGGAGGGGTTTGATTGTCTCAATGATCCTAGGAGCTAAGTTGTCTGAGGCTTTCTGCCTCTGTTAGGGTCACCCATGGCAAACAGGTCCTAGGTGAAGGATCAGACAAAGAGCAGCCCGAAGACCTCTTATGATGAATTATATAAATGGAAACCGTGTTCCCTCACCCGGACGTGGGTCACTGTGGCCCCCCTCTAGAGCCAGGCCTGGAGGTGGGGCACGTTGGCGAGCGCCTGATGGCCGGGCTTTCACCCAGGGAGCCCGGCCAGGCACAGCCCGAAGAGGAAATGTGGGTCCCCCTTTCCCATGGGCTCACCACTCGTGGGAGGGGCCAAAGGGGTCGGTTTCAGTGTGAGACAGGTGGTAGTCGAGGGTGGGGACCTTGGCGGTCTGATCCTCGTCTACAGAAGCTGGCTCTTGGCACATGGAATGTCACCTCTCTGGTGAAGGAGCCTGAGTTGGTTTGTGAGGTTGAGAGGTTCCGACTAGATATGGTCGAACTCACCTCAGCGCATGGCTCTGGCTCTGGAACCAGTTTTCTTGAGAGGGGTTGGACTTTCTACCACTCTGGAGTTGCTCCCACTGAGAGGCGCCGAGCAGGGGTGGGCATACTAGTTGCCCCCGTCTTGGTGCCTGTACGTTGGGGTTTACCCCAGTGAATGAGAGGGTAGCCTCCCTCCGCCTACGTGTGGGGGGACGGGTTCTGACTGTGGTCTTTGCTTATGCACCAAACTACAATTCAGACTACCCACCCTTTTTGGAGACCTTGGAGGGGGTGTTGGAGACTGCTCCTTCCGGTGACTCCCTCGTTCTCCTGGGGGACTCTAACGCTCACGTGGGCAACGATAGTGAGACCTGGAGAGGTGTGGTTGGGAGGAACGTCCCCCCAATCTGAATTCGAGTGGTGTTTTGTTATTGGACTTCTGCGCCAGTCATGTATTGTCCATAATGAACACCATGTTCAGACATAAAGGTGTCCATATGTGCTCTTGGCACCAGGATACCTTAGGCCACAGCTCGATGATCGACTTTGTTGTTTCATATGACCACCCGCATGTCTTGGACACTCGGGTGAAGAGAGGGGCGGAGCTGTCAACTGATCACTCCCT